TGGAGATGGCCTACAACGAGTACATCAATGAGTACTACGCCAAGATCGGTGAGGCTGCGGCTGACGGCACGGTCCCTGGGGAGGCGGGGCGAGAGGGCGCTCCCGAGGCCCCGGCCCTGAGCCAGCTGCCCCACAGGCCAGGTTGACAAGATGAAGTCTCCCTTCGAGTGGGACATCGTCACCAGGGGCCTGGTGGCCATGACCATCGAGGGCTTTGTGGGCTTCCTCCTGACCATCATGTGTCAGTACAACTTCCTGCGGCAGCCGCAGTGAGTGCCGGGGGCCCTGCGGGTGGGGGCGGGGCTGGGCGCTGCCCTCCGGCGTGGCCATGGCGTGTGGGCACTGGGCGGCGTCAGCCACGTGCTGCCCCTCCTGCCCCCCAGGCGCATGCCCGTGTCCACAAAGCCTGTGGAGGACGACGTGGACGTGGCCAGCGAGCGGCAGCGAGTTCTCAGGGGAGACGCCGACAATGACATGGTCAAAATCGAGAACCTGACCAAGGTGGGCCCTGGGCAGCTGGGGGCGGGGCCTGGGGTAGGCCGAGGCCCAGGCCGGAGGTTGGGGGGCCTGCTGAGCGGCCACCCCCTCACCTCCACCAGGTGTACAAGTCGCGGAAGATCGGCCGCATCCTGGCCGTGGACCGCCTGTGCCTGGGCGTGCGTCCTGGAGAGTGCTTCGGCCTCCTGGGTGTCAACGGCGCGGGCAAGACCAGCACCTTCAAGATGCTGACGGGCGACGAGAGCACGACGGGGGGCGAGGCCTTCGTCAACGGGCACAGGTGTGGGCGGGCCGGCGGGCGGGCGGGCGGCGGCGGCGGCCCTGGTGCTGACGGCGCTGTGTCCCCAGCGTGCTCAAGGACCTGCTCCAGGTGCAGCAGAGCCTCGGCTACTGCCCGCAGTTTGACGCCCTGTTCGACGAGCTCACGGCCCGAGAGCACCTGCAGCTGTACACAAGGCTCCGGGGCATCCCCTGGAAGGACGAGGCGCGGGTGAGGCGGGGAGGCGGGGAGGCGGCCGGCGTCGGGATGGGGAGGGGGCCCCTGACGTCCCCGTCACTCCCAGGTGGTGAAGTGGGCCCTGGAGAAACTGGAGCTGACCAAATACGCCGACAAGCCTGCCGGCACCTACAGCGGAGGAAACAAGAGGAAGCTGTCAACAGCCATCGCCCTCATTGGGTACCCAGCCTTCATCTTCCTGGTGAGCCCAGGGGTGGCACTGGGGGGAGGATGGGGGATGGGGAGAATGAGGGCTGGGGTGGGATGGGGAGGATGGGGATGGGATGGGATGGGGAAGATGGGGGATAGGGGAGGATGGGGGATGGGGGAGGATGGGGGATGGAGTGGCTTGGGGGTCAGGTACCCCAACCTTCGTCTTCCTGGTGAGCCCGGGGGTGGGATGAGGGTCAGTACCCAATCTTTGTGTTTTTGGTGAGCTGGGTGGGAAGCAGCTGGTGGGGCCAGCCGGGGTGGACGGGGTACAGTGGCTGAGCCTGGCACCACCCCCAGGACGAGCCTACCACAGGCATGGACCCCAAAGCCCGGCGCTTCCTCTGGAACCTCATCTTGGACCTCATCAAGACGGGGCGCTCAGTGGTGCTGACTTCACACAGGTCCGTCCCTGCCCCCGCTCTGCCCCCCCACAGGCCCCCGCACTCCGTGCCAGCCTGTGGGTCTCGCCCATAGCATGGAGGAGTGTGAGGCACTGTGCACGCGGCTGGCCATCATGGTGAACGGGCGCCTGCGTTGTCTGGGCAGCATCCAGCATCTGAAGAACCGGTGAGCCCTGGGGGCAGGGGTCTGGGGGAAGGGGCACNGGGCCACCCTCCCCCCGGGCCGGCCCCCCGCCCACCCCCCTGCCCCTCCCACCAGGTGTTTGTGAACTTCGCCAAGAAGCAGAGCGACAACCTGGAGCAGCAGGAGACGGAGCCGCCCTCGGGCCTGCAGTCGCCGCTGGGCCGCCTGCTAAGCCTGTTCCGGCCGCGGCCTCCCCCCACTGAGCTGCGGGCGCTGGTGGCCGACGAACCCGAGGACCTGGACACGGAGGACGAGGGCCTCATCAGCTTTGAGGAGGAGAGGGTGAGCCGGGGGCTGGGGTCAGGGCCGCGGGCTGGCCAGGGGGCCGGGCTCGGGAGGGGCGGGGCCTCAGATCCCTGCTGTTGTGAGCTTGTGGGGCAGAGGGACCCACCTGATAGTCCGGAGTAGAGTGGACCTGGGAGGCCCGGGTGCAGTCAGGGGAGACAGACCACGCCGACCTCCTAGCACCTTGGAAACGGAGGGCGTTTTGGATCCAGGCAGAGCTGAGGTGGGCGGAGCAGAGCCTGGAAACAGCAGCCACCGGCCTGGCAGGGGCAGACCAGGGGTTTGGGGGCGGGGGCGGGGGCGGCAGCACCGAGAGGCAGCTCGGGGCGGACAGAGGCGGGAGAGCCGGCGAGAGGGCCGGCCTGGGGCGGGCGCGGGCTCACACCCCCTAGCCAGCCTGTCGCTGTCCACCAGGCCCAGCTCTCCTTCAACACGGACACGCTCTGCTGACCGCCGGAGTTGGGTCGAGGTTAGCAGTGGGAACAGAAGTCAGGCGGTGGCCGAGGTCCCACGTGTGCCCCCCCACCCCCACCCCGCGCCCACCTGCCAGGCCCTGGAGCGGGCGGTCCAGGACCAAGGGCTTCAGCCCCCTCCAGCCCCCCTCGGCCGTCGCACCGCCCTCCCCTCGTGCCAAAGGCCGGCCCGGCCCCGGGCTGCGCACACCCTCAGCCTGCTCTGCCTTAAAGCCTTGGGTTCTGGCCGGCCGCTGGCCTCTGCCCGTGCCCAGCTCTGCCCACCACTCCCAGGGCCGCGGGGTGCCCCGGGCTGCCAGGACCGTCCGACCTCTCCTGGCGGGACCTGGCGTCTCCACGGGCTGAGCTCTTAGACCCAGTTCGGATGGTGGCTGCTGCCGGCCTTGGGCTGAGGGGAGGGGTGGGTTCGGCCCCACCCAAGGCACCTATTTATTTTGCTTTAGGATAAGGCTCCCTCACCCTGGCTTCCTGCAGGGAGGCCGTTGTCGTGGACCGGGCAGTGGGCTGCCAGGGGCAGTGGGCCGGGCAGCAGGAGTGGAGAAGTTGGCCCCACTGGCCAGGCGAGGGGCCTGACCCCCTCCCCACCCCTCCTGCTGCCGTTGCCCTCCCCCCAGCTCCGCCCCCTGCCCTCCCACCTGGGAGCCAGACCTGTACATAGCGCACAGATGTTTGTTTTAAATAAATAAAAAAAGTCCATGCAAGCCGGTGTGTGTGAGGGGTGGGGTGCGGGGTGAAGGGGCCCACTGGATGCCAGGACACAGCACCTGCCCGCAGGCACCGGGCTCAGGCTGGGGGAAGAAGACGGGGTCAGCCTGGAGGAGGGTCTGGGCTCCTCTCCCCTCACTGTCCCTTCTAAGCAGAGCTGTCAGTGCTGCTGGGAAGGGCCCGCAGGCAGGGGCTCAAGAGAGACAAGTTTCCCCCAGACGTGAGGCCCTGCAGGGGCCCTGAAGGGGAAGGTGGGCAGCTGCACCGGCCCCTCCAGCGGCTGCTCTGCGGATGTGGCAGGGGTGGCGGGGAGGGTTTGACAATCCATGCACCCCGGGGAGGTTGTGGTCCTATTAAGGTTGGTAAATGGGTTTGTTTTCACTTTTTTAAAAACATGGTAGGCATTTCAGACAACACAAGCAGATAGAAAGCACAGATGGCCTGTCTGTGTTTCTAGTGTCAGAGGTCATTCTGCAGGATGCACGCGTAGGTTCAGAGTCACAGGTATGAACGCATGGTATTTTCAGTTTGCTGGGTTTCTCTCTCCTTCTTGGCCCGGTTTGCTAGGGTCACCCTAACAGAGAACCACGACCAGGCAGCTTAAACACCAGACACCTGCTCTCTCACCCTCTGGGGCCCGAAATCCAAGATCGAGGTGCTGGCAGGTTGGATCCTCCTGAGGTCATGGGTGGTGAGAGCTCCCTGCTCTCCCAGCCACTGGGGGTCTTGTGGCCGTCTCCAGTGTCCAGTAGGAGCATTGCCTGGTTCTCTGCCTCCAGCTCCACACAGGGATCTCCATCTGCATGTGTGAAGGTGTCCATATCTGCCCTTTTTATGGGGACGTGGTCATACAGGGCTAACGCCCATTGCCATGACCTCATCTTGATCACCCTCATCTCCAAACAGTCACATTCTGAGGGTGGGGGGTGGGGGGAGGACCCGAACGTGTGAATTAAGAGGGGGCAGCCATAACACCAGGAAACCTCGGGCTAGTGGGACCCGCCCTCTGTCCGCGTCCGTGGATGCACCAGGCTCCCAGTCCCAGGGGACTGCAGACCACTGATTCATCCTTCGTGTACTTACGGGGCCGTCCCAGAGGCACTGCTGTTTACCAGGGGCAGCCCCAGGAGTGCGTTTCCCCACATCATTGCCAAGAATATGGTTGCCACATTTCTGTCCGTTGAACCACAAACCATTATCTGTCTTGTTCTGATTTGTTCTTGAAATAAGTGTGCAATGAAACCCTCATGTGTTCTTCTGGGTGTTTTATTTCCTTTATTCTGAGCCACCTGTTCATTGCACCCTTTTCCTAACGGACGTGTGAGGGTGTTTTTACACACAGGCCATCTGGTGAGCAGGTCCAGGTGTGGAGGGCCCAGGCCTCCTCCAGGATGGGTTGTGTGACAAAGCAGGAAGCCAGCTGGTGACCCCCTACCAGCGGTTGCGGAGCTGCCCATGGTGGCGGCATATGGGTCCGAGGCCCAGGCCCCGAGGCCACAGTACGTCCAGGTCAGCCCGGCTCGTGGCGGGGCCCGTGCCCGGGGCCCTGACCAGTTCTGGGTCCGGAGAGGGGCTGTCAGGCTGGGTCCGGGTGGGGCGGGGCCCTGGGCCTGGAGGAAGGCGCGTGCAGACCCCACGGTGGCCACCAGGTGGCGCGGCGCCTCCACAGCCCTCCCCGAGGCTCCGCCCCAGGCCCGGCCCGGGCAGGGGGCGCTGCGAGCGGCCTCTACCGGGCAGGTGCGCGCGCACCTGGGGGCGGCCAACCCCCAGCCTCTTCTGGCCCTTCCTTCCAGTCCGGGGGGAGGGCCGTTCCCAAGGGTCAGAAACTTGCGGCTTCTAACACCAAGAGCTCTTCCTTTCAAAGGTTAAGGACCGGGAGAAACACACCCCGACCGCACAGGGGAGCGGCAGGGGCGTGGGGTGGGCGCGCCCCGGGGACAGCTCACAGGTGGGAAGGGGGCGTCCCTTCCAAGTGGCTTCCCACTCTTGCGGCGCCCTGGTCGGCAGGTGGGGAAATGGAGGCTGTGGCCAGGCTCTTCCCAACTCCCCCGCTCCCTGGCCTTCGGGGCGTCCACTGGACGGAGGGCGGTGGGGTTCCCGGCGGGGCTGACCCTGACCCGGAGCTGCCCCCGCCCAGTCCACTGCCTCCACCTCCATCACTCTGCCCCCCTTCCCTCCCCCGGGACCCCTGGGGGCTGCGGTCCGGTCTGAGCACCCTTGTGCCCGCCCCGCAGGAGCCTGGCAGCCTGTCCCGGCTGAGGTGACTCCACAGGGCGGGCCGGGGCTGCGGAGGGCGGGGCGCTCGGAGAACGTTAAAGAGGGCTCCCGGGCCCGCCCAGGCCCTGCTGCCGCGGCCCCCACCATGGCTGAGACCGGCAAGCTCCAGCTGTTCGTCAAGGTACCAAGCTGCCTGGGCTGGGGGGCGGTCCCGGGGAGGAGTGCTCTGTGGGGCTCTACTTTCTGGGGCAGGCTGAGGCAGGGGTCCGCAGCAGTGTCCTCTGAGGCGGTGGGCTCAGGCTGTCTCTNGGGGGGGGGGGGGGGGCGCGGGCGGTGCATTAGAAGGGAGAGAGCACCATCCCCGAAAGGGCCGCGGCGGCCCCCTTCTCCTGGGAAAAAAGCCCTCAGGGGCTGTGCCAGGCAGACAGCCCGAGGCCGGGGCTCAGGGGCTGTGCCAGGCAGCCCGCTCAGTGCCCGGACCTGTGACCCCTGCGAAGGGACTTCCAGGTCCTGGCCTCCTCCCACCCTTGCAGCCCAGGGCAGCAAGGTGCCCAGTCCAACGGGATGAATCACTCAGAAAACAGCTCCATCGGCCCGACCCACCCTTGTGACCATCCTGCAGGGCCTGGTGCCCAGGGGCCTGGCCTCTGCCCAGGCTCTGAAGGGTCAAGGGGCCAGGCCCCAGAGCCAGGGTCCCACCCCCACACCCCTCATCCTGGCGCCCTGCCCAGCCTCCGGGCCCTTGGCAGCTCTGCAGACCCCTCCTCCCAGGGACCAAGTCAAGGGCCCTCACCAGCCACTTGTCGAGGCTGTGCCTGAGAGAGCTGGAGCCCTGGGCTTGCTCTGGCCTCTGGGCAGCAGGAGCTCGCAGGGGTCCTGGGTGTGCCCCCTGCCCTGGCAGCCCCGTGTCCCCCACCCCAGGCCAGCGAGGACGGCGAGAGCGTGGGCCACTGCCCCTCTTGTCAGCGGCTCTTCATGATCCTGCTTCTCAAGGGCGTGCCCTTCACACTCACCACCGTGGACACCCGCAGGTGAGCCCTGCCCCGAGTCCCTGGCCTCACACTCCTCTGCCAGCCGCCTCCCGCCCTGCCTCGTGCCCACAGGTCCCCGGAGGTGCTGAAAGACTTCGCTCCGGGCTCCCAGCTGCCCATCCTGCTCTGCGACGGCGACGCCAAAACCGACACGCTGCAGATCGAGGAGTTTCTGGAGGAGACGCTGGGCCCCCCAGAGTGAGGGCCGGGTGCAGAGGGGCCTGCAGACAGGCCACCCCCGGGGCAGAGCCCAGGAAGGGCAGAGCGGGCCGGGAAGGTGCAGCGCACTCTGACCCGAGCCCCCTCCCGCTCCAGATTCCCCAGCTTGGCGCCCAGATACAGGGAGTCTGCCGCGGCGGGCAACGACGTCTTTCACAAGTTCTCTGCCTTCATCAAGAACCCGGTGCCTGCACAGGACGACGGTGAGGATCTGGAGGCGCGGCGAGGGTGGCGGGAGAGGCGCCCTGGCCGGTCCTCACCAGGCCCCTCGCCCTCAGCCCTGTACCAGCAGCTGCTGCGCGCCCTCGCCAAGTTAGACAGCTACCTGCGCGCGCCCCTGGAGCATGAGCTGGGGCGCGAGCCGCAGCTGCGTGAGTCCCGCCGCCGCTTTCTGGACGGCGATCAGCTCACGCTGGCCGACTGCGGCCTGCTGCCCAAGCTGCACATCGTGAACGTAAGCACCGGGCGGGGCGGGGCCAGGCGGGCAGACTCTCCAGGAGACCCTGACGGCGCCCCTCTCCCGTAGACGGTGTGCGCGCACTTCCGCCAGGCTCCCATCCCCGCTGAGCTGCGCGGCGTCCACCACTACCTGGACTGCGCCCTGCAGGAGAAGGAGTTCAAGTACACGTGTCCGCCCAGCGCTGAGATCCTGGCGGCGTACAGGCCCGTCGTGCGCCCCCGCTAGCGCCCCTGCCACCTGCCCAATCGTCCGCAGCCCCATAAAGGCACCTCTGCCCCAATGAGCGCGAAGGGGCATCAGAGGGATCAGAGGCCCCTCAGTTTCTGCCACTCCCAAACGCCCACCGTGGGACGCTCAGCTCCAGACAACAGCCCACAAGGATCAGCAGAGAAGCCCGTGGGCGGGGTGCAGTCCATCTCCCTACTTCTTGGGGATGGCGGGACTGGATTGGGCTCCCAAACCAGTCAGGCCAGGGTGGGGCCACAGGATGGCTGGGGAGGGTGTGGAGCCAAGCCTCATCTGAGCAACTCTGGGCCAGAGGGTGGGCCCCACATTCCTCAGCTCTGCCCAGGTGCAGGCAGGCCACCCCCCACTCCCTGGCCATCGTGTGGGGTCTGCATCACAGGCATGTGCCCGCTGGGGCGGGAACAAGATTTCTAGCCTCAGAGCCCCACCCCACCTTGCACAGCCAGCTGGGCTCCTGGGTGTGCCAGGCAGGGACAGGTGGGCAGGGTGAGACAGGTGGGCAGGGCGAGAGAGCCGGGCAGTCTCACCAGGAACCAGAGCCTGACACGGCCCCATGCTTGGCCCGCGGGCCTGGGAGCCAGTGCCTGGCCATGACCTGGTGACTTTCGCCAGATGAAGATGTTTATTTGATGGGCGAGGGGCTGGAGGAGTGGCCTTGTTCGAGCCTGGCAGCAGGCTGGGCAGGTGCCGGTGGGAGGTCCTGGGGGCTGCCCCTGCCCTGCCCTCAGAGGCACAGTCCTGACGTCACACTTTCCGCAGTGCCTTCAGGGGTCATCAAAGTCTACACCACCTGCCGGCTTCTTACTGGGAGAGAAGAGGGGATGACGCTGCAGGGTGTGGAGGGGCGGGCGGGGTCCACGCTGGACCCTGGGCATAGGAGGGACGGGGGGCGGGGGAGCACCTCTTGAAGCCTGGGTTGATGAGAGACTCCCCTGGACACCGCCTCTTGACCCCAGGTCCAGGGCCACCTCTCTGAGGATCTGGGTCTGGGGAAACAGGATGAGGGCAGGGGGCTCCTGAGTCCAGCAAGATCCCAGGCCCACGAGCCCCTCTCCACAAGGACAGACCCTCTCTCTGAAGCTTGAGGCTTGTTCTGGGGGAACCGAGTCCCAGCAGAGTCAGCGTGGCCCCAACCCGAGTCACTTGTGACAGGCCTTACCTGGTAAGAAGAGATGAGGCCCCGCCTGCCAGGCGCTCTTTCTGGGGCTGGGGGCCATCTCTGCTGCAGCAGCTGGGGGGTGGAAAGCAGGAATGCAGGCCTGGCCGTGGGACCCTAGTGAGCCCAGGCAGGGGGTGCCCACCCCCACCTACCTGCCAGCCGCTGCTCCAAGCTGCACACACGCTCCGCCAGGCCCAGCATCAGTGCCTGCAACCTGGAGGCTGCTTCTGGGCCTGGCACCTTGGACAGATCAAGTTCCAGCGCCGAGGGTCCCCCTGAAAGGGTCAGGGACGCTCTGTCCTCCTGCAGGGTGAGAGTCACAGCTTGCCGCTCACAGGCTGCCCTGGGGAAGGAGCGGGGCTGAGTACCGTGGCCACATCCACTGCTCCCCACCCACCCTGCCTCTCTGCTCAGAGGCTCACCTGAATCGGAGGGCAATGTCTTCAGCAGCACTGAGGCCAAAACGGGTTTTCTACAGGGAAAAAGGGCTGGTCAGCAGGGGCCTGAGATCCTTCAGCCTCTGGGCACACCCCCAATCTGCCCGACCAGGGCCTCCCGGGACAGCTGCAGGGCCGTGGGAAGGGTGCCCAGGTGCTTCCGGCGAATCCCAGGCCGCCCCCTGCGAGCCCACAGGCGGTCCGCGCTGCAGGTGCGTGGTGCGGGGGGCTCCCAGCCGCCCAGGAGCCCCGTTACCCACCAGGGCCGCCAGGCCGTCCGGCGTGAAGCAGGTGCTCCAGAGCTCCGCGGCGTCCGTCACACTAAGGAACAGAGGCAGTCAGACTGGGCCGCCCGCCGGGCCGCCCGCGCCCCTCGCCGCCCCGCGAGACCCGCTACTCACCAGAGGTTGAAGCCGCCTTGTTCCCCGGGCCCGCCGCCCTCCCCCTCGCAGTAGCACACGAAGCGCGGGGGCCCGGGGCCCGGCGGCAGCGTGCAGAGAGGCGGCCACCGCGGCGGCGGCACCATGGCGCCTCGGCCGGCGGAGGGATCCGGCGGGCAGAGCTGCGGCCCCGCGGCGCGCGTTGATCCGGGGCGCGCCTGTTGACCCCGGGCGCCTGCCGGTCTGGGGTGCCTTGGTGCCTGGGGCGCCTGCGCGGGCGAAAGGCTTCCGGAGCGGGGCGGGCTGGGGCAGGGCTTAGCCCGGGGCGGAGCCTGCGCCGTGGAGCGGGGCTACGTGCCCGGCTCCGGCTCCCGGGCTGCGCTCGCCGAACCTGGTCGCCGTCCGGGGCTCGGCCCCCCGCGCACACTTGGGGGCCTCTTTGGACCTTCCCTCTGCGCGCCCCCTGTCCCCGCTGAGTCCGGAGTTCCCCCCTTGGCGCAAGCCCTGAGCAGGCGCAGGCTTGGCCGCCCACCACTTTGGCCTCAGATGGCTTTGTCCCCGCTCGACGGTCCCTGTCCCCACTGAGTCCGGAGTTCCCCCCTTGGCGCACGCCCTGAGCAGGCGCAGGCTTGGCCGCCCACCACTTTGGCCTCAGATAGCTTTGTCCCCGCGCGACGGTCCCTGCGGCCTCCCCCTGGCCTCCGCACCCCGCTTCCTGTGTCAACTGGAACAAGTCAAAATACGAAAGAGAATAAAGTATGGTAACCCGCGCCAGCCTCCCGCCCCTCGTCCGTTCGCTCCGCCGTGTTTAGCCAGCACCCCTTCCTTGGTGTCCCGGCCCGGAGCTCACCTTGACCGGTAGGCAGGTCTCTGATCTCCTGGAGCTGGGGAGCGCCCACGGAAGGGACAATGAAGCGTGAAGTCCTCAGGTCGTGCCCAGTGTCCTCTGAGCCGCGACCCGGAAGGAGAGAGGGATGGAGCGCGCCAGGAAAGTGGGCCGCAGGCAGAGGGGGCGGCCTCTGCAGACGCCCTGCTGTGGGCACATCAGCTCTGCTCAGGGCTTTGCGAGGCCAGGGTGACAGGACGAGGCTTGCGGAGGGTAGCTGGCAGGTGGGTTTGTAAGCTGTGCTGATGGATTTCAAGCTCACCTGCAGCCAAGCCTGCCCCCTGGCTGATGCATCCTGTTTCACAACCCTCACCCCACCCCCGCCAGGCTCCTGCCTTGGGACCTCTGCATGCGCTCTTGTCTCTGCCTGGCACCCCTCCCCAGACTCACTCCCAAAGGTCCCTCACTGGTGAGGCCTTCTCTTGTTTTATACCCGGTTTCAACACCCCACCCCACATCTCAGTCCTCTCTCTGAATTTACTTGTTTTCCAGCTTGTCACTATTCAAAGTACCTTCTGATTTACGTGCAGTGACAGCAGCCTCTAAGATGGTCCCCAACCGAGTGCCTCCTAGGTTTTCACCTTTGAGTACCCCTCCCCTGAGCCTGCCTGGATGGAGTCCCTCGCAGATAGCCGATAGAATGTGGCAGAAGTGATGGACTGTCACTTCTTTCTTCCTCTGGAATTGCTCACACGGCACGAGGAGCCTGGTGGCAAAGGACCAAGGCCTGGCCAACAAGCAGCGAGGAAGCCCGGACACCGACCGTCTCCCGGCAGAGCCTTCTGATGGGAACACGGCCCCACCACAGGGCACAGAGCACCTGAGACCAGCTTCTTCACCCTCGGAAACAGGCAGACAGTACATGCTGCTTTAAGCCGCTCAGTGTTGGGGGTAATCTTTCAGCAGTAGGTTACTAATAGGGTTATTTATTCTCTTTCTTGCCCATTTTTAACTTGAGGTTCACAAAGGCAGGACTTTCTGTCCCTGTCGTTCGCCACGGTATTCTCAGTGTTTAAACGGTGGCTGGCACATTTTTGCTGTTCAGTTCCTAAGTCATGTCAGACTCTTTGTGACCCCATGGACCACAGCACGCCTTCACTATGTCCCGGGGTTCGCTCAAACTCATGTACAACGAGTTATGATGCCATCCAACCATCTCATCCTCTGTTGTCCCTTTCTCCTCCTGCCCTCAATCTTTCCCAGCATCAGGGTCTTTTCTAATGACTGAAAGAGATGTTTTAAACAAATGAATGAATGCAGAGTGGGGAGCTGTTGGCAATTTAAGCAGGGGTGGGGTGGAGGTGGCACTTCTGATTTTTGTGTATAAAGCCCATGTTGAACGTCATGAGGCAGTGGCCTCAAGGGCTGCAGGGATGAAGGTGAGGAGAGCAGGGAGAATAGTAGAGGGCGGCTGAGTTCCTAGGGCAGAGCTGATGCAGGCGGGGCCAGGGGCTCAGAGTGGAGTGGAGAGAGGTAGCAGGGAGGAGGGGATGGATCACGGATGACCCCTGCGTTTCAGGAGGGTAGAAAAGCCCTTCCCAAGATGATTGGAGCAGGGCAGGATTGGAGGAGACCTGGGGCCTCTCCATGTTCATTGAGTTTCTGACCTGACTGTATGTCTGATGGAGGTGAGTGAAAGCTGCTGTGCTTGCAAGGCTCTCGTCTGGACGGTCAGGCCGGGAGGTGTGTGTGGCATCACCAGCCCCTTGTCGTCCAGTCGCTGAGTCGTGTCCACCTCTTTGCAGCTCCGTGGACGGCGGCACATCAGGCTCCTCCGCCCTCTCCTATCTCCTGGAGTCTGTTCATTCTCATGTCCATGAACTGAGTCAGTGATAGCATCAAACCATTGACTCCTCTGTTGCCCCTTTCTCGTTTTGCCTTCAATTTTTCCTGGCATCAGGTCTTTTCCAATGAGTTGGTTCTTCACATCAGGTGGCCAACATACTGAAGCTTCAGCTTCAATAAACCTCCCAGTGAATATTCAGGGTTAATTTCCTTCAGGATTGGCTGGTTTGGTCTCCTTGCAGTTCAAGGGACCCTCAACAGTCTTCTTCAACACCATAGTTCAGAAGCATCAATTCTTTGGCACTCAGCCTTCTTTATTATTCAACTCTCACATCCATATATGACTACTGGAAAAACCATAGCTTTGACTAGATGGAACTTGTTGGCAAAGTCATATCTTTGCTTTTTAATACACTGTATAGGTTGGTCACACTGTTTCTTCCAAGGAGCAAGCATGTTTTAATTTCATGGCTGCAGTCACTGTCTGCAGTGATTTTGGAGACCAAGAAAAGAAAATCTGTCACTATTTTCCAGTTTTTCCCCAACTATTTGCCATGAAGTGATGGGACCATGGTGGGCCTTAGAAAGCATCACTATGAACAAAGCTCATGGAGGTGATGGAATTCCAGCTGAGCTATTTCAAATCCTGAAAGATGATGCTGTGAAAGTGCTGCACTCAATATGCCAGCAAATTTGGAAAACTCAGCAGTGGCTAACCTCTTGATGAAAGTGAAAGAGGAGAGTGAAAAAGTTGGCTTAAAACTCAACATTCAGAAAACTAAGATCATGGCATCTGGTCCCATCAGTCCATGGCAAATAGATGGGGAAACAGTGGAAACAATGACAGACTTTATTTTCTTGGGCTCCAAAATCACTGCAGATGGTGACTACAGCCGTGAAATTAAAAGACGCTTGCTCCTTGGAAGAAAAACTATGACCAACCTAGATAGCACATTAAAAAGCAGAGACATTACTTTGCTGACAAAATTTCATCTAGTTAAAGCTATGGTTTTTCCAGTAGCCATGTACGGATGTGAGAGTTGGACCACAAAGAAAGCTGAGTGCCGAAGAATTGATGCTTTTGAACTGTGGTGTTGTAGAAGACTCTTGAGAGTCCCTTGGACTGCAAGGAGATCCAACCAGTCCATCCTAAAGGAAATCAGTCTTGAGTGTTCATTGGAAGGACTGATGTTGAAGCTGAAACTCCAAAACTTGTGGCCACCTGGTTCGGAGAACTGACTCATTAGAAAAGACCCTGATACTGGGCAAGATTGAAAGCAGGAGGAGAAGTGGACGACAGAGGATGAGATTGTTGGATGGCATCGCCAACTCAATGGACATGAGTTTGAGTAGGCTGCAGGAGTTGTTGATGGACAGGGAATCCTGGCATACTGCAGTCCATGGGGTCACAAAGAGTCAAACATGACTGAGCAACTGAACTGAACTGATGGGGCCGGATGCCATAATTATAGTTTTTTGAATGTTGAGTTTTAAGCCAGCTTTTCCACTTTCCTCTTTCACCTTCATCGAGAGGATCTCTAATTCCTCTTTGCTTTCTACCACTGGGATGGTGTCATTTGCGTATCTGATGTTACTGATGTTTCTCCTAGCAATCTTGATTCTAGCTTGAGTTTCATCTAGCCTGGCATTTCGCATGATGTACTCTGCATATAAGTTAAATAAGACAATATACAGCTTTGATGTCCTCCTCTCCTAATTTTGAGTCAGTCCATTATTCCACGCCCATTCTAACTGTTGCTTCTTGACCTGAATACTGGTTTCTCAGGAGGCAGGGAAGGTGGTCTGGTATTGCCACCTCTTAAAGAATTTTCCAGTTTGTTGTGATTCCACAGTAAAAGGCTTTAGCATAGTCAATGAAGCAGAAGTAGATGCTTTTCTGGAATTCTCTTGCCTTTTCTATGATCCCAAGGATGTTGGCTATCTGATCTCTGGTTCCTCTGCCTTTTCTAAATCCAGCTTGTACATCTGGAAGTTCTTGGTTCACATACTTTTGAAGTCTAGCTTGAAGCATTTTGAGCATTACCTTGCTAGCGTGTGAAATGAGTGCAATTGTGAGGCAGCTTGAACATTCTTTGGCATTGCGTTTCTTTGGGATTGGAATGAAAACTGCCCTTTTCCAGTCCTGTGACCACTGCTGAGTTTTCCAAATTTGCTGGCATATTGAGTGCAGCACTTTCACAGCATCATCTTTTAGGATTTGAAATAGCTCAGCTGGAACTCCATCACCTCCACTAGCTTTGTTTGTAGTGATGCTTCCTCAGGCCCACTTGACTTCGCATTCAAGGATATCTGACTCTAGGTGAGTGATCACACATTGTGGTTATCTGGGTCATTAAGACCTTTTTTTGTACAGTTCTTCTGTGTATTCTTGCCACTTCTCCTTAATATGGAACCTCCTGACTCCATTTGAAATATGGTTTCTATTTATTAATCTTTACATTTCCTCCTTTGGAGATGTTTCTCTGAAAGCATTGCTGATCAATTGGCAGGTTTTTTTTTTTTTTTTCCCCAGATACAGCAACTTTTCCCCTTGATGCCAGGGAGGACCCTTCTTGGATATTGTGTCCCTCGGGAAAGGGAGCACGCACATACTGGTGATCTCTTCAGGTCACACTCCATCTGCAAGGACGGGTCGGAGGGAGCACTCAGAAGTCTCCCATCTGCAGTCCGTGTCTTAGAACAGTGGATGCAGCAAGGGCACGCTCGGCCCGGGGAGAATTAAACCAGCACTCTGGGGAGACATAGTTGATGCAGGAATTAAGGCATGGGGGAGTGATTCTGGATTATACATAATTTGACTTAAACTTTAGGCTATTTAGAGCAGCCTGTCAACATTAACTGTGCATCTGCTTTAACCATTACAGAATGAGGAAGAAGGGGGAAGATGCATTACGTGAATGTTTAGAATGTCCACTCTGAATACAGGGATAAATGCCACCTTCTGCCCCCTCCTCCCCAGTGACGACACTATATTCCTTCGAAGATGAGGTTCCCTTCCCAGACACCGAGGTCATGCTGACCTGCTGTGAACCTGCTAATCTGTCTTCAAACCTTGAGAAAATGTATCCCTGTCATGTTTGGTGTTTGTTGTTCTGACAAGATATAAAACTGTGGTTCAGGCATCCACATTGGAGCCGGGTGGCCATTGTGGATGTGGTTTCAGACAGTTCACTGGGAGCTTGAATTTTTTAAACTGTATTAGACTCAAGGTCATCACCAACTGTTCTTTGCTAGTCACCACCACCTGCGACATTATGGTCTCACCGTCTCTCCTTGTAACTATGTATTTGGACCCCAAATGACCTTGCTCTACCAACACTCTCCCTATCAGCTTCAGTCCTAATTCCTGACACTTTACGCGTCTTTGCAGTTTTTGCCTGTATACACATCCCTTCCCATTCGGCAGACTGCGGAGCATATCTCAGTGCTTCTTCCATCTGGGTCTTCTGCTCTACAGTCCTCAGTTTGGCGCAAATAAAACTTTTCTATTCCTATTGTCAATGCAAATCATCAATAGCCAATCTGAGCTGATTAACAAGCACAGCTGGAAAGAAAGAAAAGACACAGTTTAAGAAAAAAAAATGAGAGAGAGAGAGGGTTGGGGGACTCCGCTGGCAGTCCAGTGGTTAGAACTCGGTGCTTCCAAAGCAGGGGGCATGGGCTGGCTCCCCGGTGGGCGACCATGCCATGTGGGGTGGCCAAGATCAGAGAGGAGGTTTGCGAGGGGCCCCTGCGATTCCCCGGAGCCCGGTGCTGGGGGTCGGGAGGACGTTGGAAAGGCTGGTGAGGGGCTGAACCTGAAGGCCCCTGAGCGCCTAGGCGTGCAACATTTTCCCAATGATCTGGCTCTTTGCAATGCCGGTGGGGTCAGCGGAGGGGGCCCTTGCTGACCACCTAAGGTCCTTGGCCTTTACTCTCTGAGAGGGGACCCACGGGCGGCTGTGGGCCGAGGAGTGGCGCGCTGTCACTCGTGCAGCCTTGGGACGCGGGTGGGCAGCTGGCTGAAGGCTGCCCCCTTGTGGCCAGAGCCGGGCGTGCAGGACTGGGCCCAGCGGCAGGCGCCAGGGGCCGTGAGGGCAGACTGCATCTCCTCACGCCAGACCCTTCCCGGGGACCCTGGAGGGGACAGTGAGCGGGGAGGGCAGGGGCCGAGAGCCTGCTGGAGAGGCGGCCCCCGCCCGCCCCACGGTGAATCCCGCTCTTACGCGATTTCCACGCCATCTTCTATCGGTCTGTGTGGAAGCCAAATATCAACCAACGAATCAGCCGATCGACTGGGAATTCCCTGGCGGCCCAGCGTCTAGGACTTGGCGCTTTCACCGCCGGGGCCCTGGGTGTGCTCCCTGGCTGGGCAGCTAAGATCCCACAAGCTGTGCATCTCGACCAAGGGAGCTGGCGGAAAGCACGCTGAATAGATCAACTGGTTCATCGCTGGTCCCTCTGCAGACGCCTGTCTTGTGGGCAGCTGGCATCTTGGGTGGGAGGTGCTGGCTCTCTGGGCCTTCCCACCTACTGCCCGCCTCCGCGGGACAGGTGTCAGGCTGGGGGCAGGGGGAGACGGGACAGGTCCCACCCTGTGGTGCCCACAGCAGGCCAGAGTCTGGCGGGTCGGCCGGGCAGCAGGGGCACTGGCGGGGCTCCAGCTGTGCAGGGGTGAGGGGCTGTCTGGGGCCCCTGGGACGTGGGGGCTCTTCTTCCCAGTGACCGCGCTGCCCGGAAGGGCCCAGAGGGAGAACGCTAGTCTGGTAGGACCGGGCTGTTTCTACTGAAGAACATCTAACCAGCTGAAGAGCAGAAACAGTGGCATAGCTAGCTGTCACCCGGGACCACGGTCCACTTTTCACGTTTACATCTTGCTCGATTGTTTTTTGAACGAGTTACAGCACAGATGCCGTGCCATTTCACCCTGAGACGATTCAGGGCCAGCCGTGAAAGGACAGCACTGTTTCCCTCATCAACACAATGGAGGGACAGAGACCTGTGGGCAGGGGTCAGGGAGAAGGGTGCCAGAGGGCAGGCTGGGATGGATACAGTGCAGGCACCCCCGGGGCTGTGGTGGGGGGAACCCAGTGGGGGGACCCCGAGGATTGTGGTGGAGGGGACCCAGTGGGGGGGACCCCTGGGCTGTGGGGGGGGACCCGGTGGGGGGGACCCCTGGGCTGTGGGGGGACCTGGTGGGGGGGACCCCCAGGGCTGTGGTGTGGGGACACCCCAGGCTGTGGTGGGGGGGACCTGGTGGGGGGACCCCCAGGACTGTGGTGGAGGGGACCCAGTGGGGGGGACCCCCGGGCTGTGGGGGGGACCTGGTGGGGGGACCCCGAGGGCTGTAGTGTGGGGACACCCCAGGCTGTGGTGTGGGGGACCCCCAGGCTGTGGGAGGGACCTGGTGGGGGGACCCCCAGGGCTGTGGTGTGGGGGACCCCCAGGCTGTGGGAGGGACCTGGTGGGGGGACCCCCAGGGCTGTGGTGTGGGGGACCCCCAGGCTGTGGGAGGGACCTGGTGGGGGGACCCCCAGGGCTGTGGTGTGGGGGACCCCCAGGCTGTGGGAGGGACCTGGTGGGGGGACCCCCAGGGCTGTGGTGTGGGGGACCCTCAGGCTGTGGGAGGGACCTGGTGGGGGGACCCCCAGGGCTGTGGTGTGGGGGACCCCCAGGCTGTGGTGGGGACCTGGTGGGGGGACCCCCAGGGCTGTGGTGTGGGGGCCCCGGGGACCGAGGAGCCCAGGTGCGTAACCGGCATGAGTCGGGGGTCACATTCTCAGGCGGCTGCATGTCTGCACCCCTGACCTGGCGCCTGGGGTCCGAGGGGGACTCAAGGAAGCCACTGAGACGCCTTGTCCGGCCACCAGAGAGGCCGCGTCCCTCGGACCTAACGTCTGCCCAGGCGGTGGGCAGGGTTGCCGGGCAAGTGTCCTGCCCTGTCCCTCCAGGGCCCGGGAACCAGCTGCGGAGCGCTCCCGGTGGGGATGGAACCCGAGACGCACACAGTTCCTCTCAGGCGGCCCCTCTCGCGGGGCGCCCCCGCCGCGGCCCACCCGGGCCCTCTGCCCCTACGTCCAAGAAAGGCGCCGCGCCGGCTTATGGAGACTCTTTATTGTGCTGGGGGCTGGGTGGAGAGGCAGCCGCACCTCGAGGAGGGCTGGGCCGCGGGTCCCGGGACCACCGCCCCGCTCCAGCTCCCGCGCGGGGGCCCCGCTGGGGTGGTGCTCGCGCCTCGCCCGCCCCGCCCCCGTAGTGGGCGTGGCTCTCCGGGTGGGCGGGGCCTCCAGGATGGGTGGGGCCTCCCGGGTCTGCGGGGCGCGGGGCAGCTGTGGTCCAGGCCGGCCCGCGCTCACCTAGGCCAGGACCTCCGCGCACTGGTCTGTGGAAGACAGCAGGTCCTGAGGAAGCGCCCGGCGCCCCCTCCCCACCTCCCCCGAGGGGCCAAGCCCCTCTCCCGCCTGCGACCCCCTCCTCCCTCCTCTGGCGCTCCTGTTGTGCGTCCAGCGCCAGAGGAGCGGGCCTCGGGGCCTCCCGCGCCCCCCACACCCCAGCCTGGGTCGGGGGTCCCCCTGCCCCTGCAGCGCTGGGCGGCCTGGAGATGGTGCTCACCTGACTTGGGCAGCAGGACTCCCTGGCCGGGGCTCAGGCCCAGCTGCGGTGCCAGCTGCTGCATCCTCTGGGCGCCTTCAGGAAACAGCTCCGGGGCCCGGGCTGAGGACAGGGCGCCGTGAGCAGAGCGGGCGTGGGCGGGGGGCCGGGGCAGGGGAGGGGCCCAGGGAGGCGCTGGGAGATGCTGGTTCCACCTGCCTCCCAGCCAGGGCTCGCTGGGGAGGCACGGGGGACGCTGCAGGGCACACCGCCCACGTGACCCCAGAGGAAGGCCGGATGGGGCCGGGGTGGTGCCGCCCTTCAGGCGGGTGGGTCTCCCACCACCCGTCACCCACCATAGAGCTGCAGCCAGACGTTCTTTACGCCCCCCTTCTGGGTCTCGAAGTACATCACAGCGAAGTGCTTGTAGTCAGTGAAAGCCACCCTGATGTCGGTCTGCGCCATAGCTGGAGGGGGCGGGAGCCTACTGAGCTGGGCGCCGGCCCGGAAGCCCCCTGCCCGTCCCCACGGTCCCGAGAGCTGTCCCGCTGCCCAGCCCCGCCCCCCACGCGCTGGCCTCACCCGCGTTGCTGAACTGCCCGTCCACGGCCCCCTTGGTGAAGGTGCTCTCCGTCTCTTGGCACCCGCCATCGGGCCTGGGAAGGGGACCCCAGCGGCCTGAGCTGCAGCCCCCGCCCACGGCCCAGCCCCAGTGGGCGTCCCGAAGACAAACTGCCTGACCGCGACAAAAACGGCTGCCACTTAGCTGCTGCCAACTGCCCCACGTAGGGGGAGATATCCAGCCTGCCCCAGGGCCACCTGTCTCCCATCAGAGCAACGCTTGATCACACAGGTGCTTTATGATTCACTTATAGGAGAGGAGACACCCCGGGGCAGAGGGACACAGCCAGGGGACGTGGGGCCTGTGGGGTCTCCCCGTCTCCCCTCCAGACACCAGCATGCCTGCATGCGTGCACACACACACACACACACACAGACACAGCTCCCCCACGCCCTCAGGTGGGGCCCCTCTGATGAGCAGGTGGGCGGGGCTGCTGTTTCGCTGGCCCTGCAGCCTAGCACGGGTGGGGCCTGGCTCTGACCCCTGATGGGTTGAGCACACCCCTGCCTCCTCCTGGCTCCCCCACCTGACCGCACACTGGCTGGGCCTAAGGCCATTCCAAGGTGGGACTCCTGGGATCACTTACGTGGGAAACCCAAACTTGATGCCCAGGTCGCCGTTGGCCAAGGAGGTCACCAAGACCACGGGCATCTTCATGTTGTCCTTGGCATCCAGGAAGCCCTGGTCGTCCGACACCGCCCCAACCACGTACCAGGGGCCCTGGAACTGCAGGGGAACAGGGCGAGCTGGGGGTAGCCCCGGCTGCCACGTCAAACCTGACCCGAACTTGGGGGGCAGCTGCAACTCATCTGGCTGGTGGCCCGGCAAGTGGTGGGGACAGAAGTCAGACTTGGGACCGAGGGGCCTACTGTCCTCTGCAGAGCACCCCCCACCAAGTCAGCTGGGCAGATGGTCCCCTCGAGCTGAACTTGAACCAGAGTGGGGGCTGGGCTGGGTTCCCCCAGCCCTCTGGCCTGTCTCCTAGAACACAATCAGAGAGAGGCGGCCAGCCTGGGCACGTCTGTGCGCACCTGGCTGGCATCGAAGTCGGCCTGGATGGGGACCTGGGCCTGGCCTGGGTCTGCAGTGAGCAGGGCGAGTGTCCCGCTGATCAGCAGCGTCTGCAGCATCCTGGAAGGTGGCTCTCGTCGATGGCACGGGTCTCGGGAGCAGGACAGGAGGGTGGGGGTGGCCTCTCCCACTGTGCCTTTATGCTCTTGAGACACCCTGGGACACTGGCCTACCGGCCTGGGACAGACCCCACTGTGATAGGCTCTGATCGGGTTGCTCCCTGGGGCACTGGCCTGCCCACCTGGGACAGGCCCCACTGTGATAGGCTCTGATCGGGTTGCTCCCTGGGGCGCTGGCCTGCCCACCTGGGACAGGCCCCACTGTGATAGGCTCTGATCGGGTTGCTCCCTGGGGCGCTGGCCTGCCGGCCTGGGACAGGCCCCACTGTGATAGGCTCTGGTCGGGTTGCTCCCTGGAGCACCCTGGCCCAGCGGGTCCCCACCAGACCCCGCCCATCCTTCCTGGGGAGGGGGCCGGATGCCCCAGGGCAAGGGGAGGGGAAGGCTGGCAGGCCCTGTGGGATGTGGCCTCCAGCCCTGGGCTCAGGCAGAGCCTCGAGAAGCCATTCCAAAAGCTCACCCTCACCTCTGACCCTCACAACCTGGGTGCCTGGACAGGGCCTGGTGGGCAGGTTGCTGTGGGTAACACCTTGTGAGCCAGGAGGGCCCAGGACAGGGCCCGAGAACGGTCACACAGGCGGAGGACCTGGGGGACAGTAGGAGGTGAAGGGCGGGCTGGGAGGGAGACCTTGCATGAGGCTCTGGGTTAGCTCGGGTGCCAGAGGCGGGCGAGTGGGCAGGGCTGTGCCCTTGAGGCCCAGGCCAGAGGCTGGGGGCTGGGGGCTCTCAGGCGGCCCCAGGAGATGGGGGGGTGGCCGTCTCCAGCCCACTCGGTCAGTTCTGTCTGGGGTCCATGGACACTCCAGCCTCCTTCCTCTCTGCGCCCTCAAACCCTTCTCTCTGCCCAGTCTGAGGGTGCTAACCCCATTCCTTCAGAGCTGCCCTGGGCCTCGGCCTCTTCTGGCCGGGTGGGGGCAGACTGTGGGCACCTGCCCAGAGCCATCAGCTGTAGCTGCGCCTGGAGGGGGTGGCCGGAGGCGCTGCAGTGGGTGAGATCCGGCCGCGTGGAGTGGTTGGGGACACAGCTTCCCTGGGCTGTCCAGGCTTCCGGCCAGCCGCCTCTCCCACGCCTTCAGGGGCCGAGCTAGTGCGCCCCTGCCCGCCCCCTTGGGGCATCCCGCAGAGCTGCAGATTTCACAGAGGGTGAAGGGACACCCAGGCCCAAAGCAAAGTGGGGGGCAGTCAGGTCCCTGGAGAGCTGGCCAGAGCCAGGCCCAACTGCAGGACAGACAGTCGTGAACCAGGAGCTGATTTGCTTCTGGAGTTTATTCTCAGAGCCGGGATAAAGGCTGAGGCAGGGTGGGAATGGCAAAGGGGCTGGGGTCTCGGGTGTTGCAGGAAACGGCTGAGCAGGGCAGGAGGGCCAGGTCCTGAAAGCCGGGCTCACCTGGGCAGGAGAGTGGGACCTGTGGGTGGGGCCGGCCACGCGCCCCCCCACCCCAGGACCCCGGCCCCTCAGTCTTAGGTCGCGAGGGCCCGTCCACCGAGGCCTCTCAGCAGAGGGAGCCGGCCTCCCCGCCGTCCCCTGGTCACCCCACCCCAGTCCTGTCCCGGCCGTGGACCCCGGCCCCTCAGTCTCAGGTCGCGAGGGCCCGTCCACCGAGGCCTCTCAGCAGAGGGAGCCGGCCTCCCCGCCGTCCCCTGGTCACCCCACCCCAGTCCTGTCCCGGCCGACCACTCCGCCCGCTCCCAGTGACCTTGCTGAACCCCAGCGGAGGCCCCTCCGTGAAGCAGCCCTCGTGGCAGATGGGAGGCTGTTGGTGAGCGCGTGTTGAATGAGCGAGTGAGGGGGGCCTGCTGGGTGAAGGTGGCCCCCAGCCCCCCACTCACCTATGTGTGCTCCTCCATGCACTTGTCTGCCAAGAAAGAAGCCCAGGCCTGCGGTCAGTGCCCCAGGCCCGCCCCCTCCCGCCCCCGATGCAGCCGTGGAGAGCATCTCGTGACCCCTTAACTGCTGACTGTCACCCCATCACTCCCGCCCCTCCCCCAGGCTCTGTCTGCCCCTCCAAGAGGAAGATCCGGTCCCCTCCCCGGGCCCAGAGCAGGCTGCCTTGGCAGGGAGGCCGTGGGCGCTTCAGGGAGCCCGCTGAGCCCCGTGTGGTTGTCCCCATGTCCCGACGCGGACGCCCGTCCACAGGTTCCGTTTCTAGGGCCTGCCCTGCCCCCTCCCAGGCTGGGGGCCTTCGCATCCCAGGGGCCCACCCGGGGCCTGGCACACGGTGGGCTCGTGGTGAATCCGGGGAGGGGGTGTTTCCTGGGTAGCATCTTCCTGGGCCCGGCCTGGGAGCCGCAGGCCATGGTCACGGTGTGAGGACAGACTGCCCCTGCTCCGGAGGCCGTGCCCCGGTCAGTGGGCAGTCTGGCCGGACGGACTCCACCCCTCGGCCTCCCCCGGATCAGGGATCAGGAGACGGTCTGTCTGCCTCTAACCTGACCTTAATCCCCTCCCGTCAGATTAGCGTGCTCACCAGTCTTCGGCAGGAACACAATGCCTTCCTCTGTGAAGCCCAGGCTCTTGGCGAAGGTGGTGAACTTTTCCTTGACCTCAGCTCTGGGGGTCTGGGTGCGGCCTGGGGCAGGGAGGAGAAGCCTTCAGCCTCCGTTGGTCTGCAGCATCCCCGCTCTGCCCCTGCTCCTGAGGCCGGGGCGCCCCCAGACGCCCCCACGGGTGGAGCCCCAGGCCGGGTGGTGGGCGCGGCATGGGGCACGTACTGTACAGTGTGGCCATGCGGAAGTCCTGGCCCGGGCCTCGGACACTCTCGGTGGAGAGCAGGGCGTAGGTCTCGTAGTCCGTCTCCACCACCGACACCTCGTGGGTGCTGCTCCAGTCTGGAAACCCGGGAGACAGCCCCGTGGGGCCCAGTGTCCCCAAACCAGAAGGGCTCATAAAATCAGGGGTGCATGGGACCGCCACAAACCCCCACAGCCACACCCCTCTGGGGAGGAGGAAAGACGGCCAGGGGGATGTCACCCCCAGGCAGGGGCAAGGAGGGCAGGGGTCCTGGGGTGCAGAGCTGCCTGAGGAGTGAGAGGAGCACGGGGCGCAGACAGCTGCAGAGAGCCCTGCACGGCCCTGGCGCGGGGCTGCTGGGCAGACCCAGGCCGACCCTGGCGGGGCGGCCACCCCCCCCTCCCCCATACCGCCGGGCAGGGCGGCGCCCAGAGTCCCAGCCAGCAAGTGTCGCTGCTGGCCGCACTCACGAGGGCTGGTGTAGGTGTAGCAGCCGGGGGGTCCGGCGGGGCGCAGCAGTAAGGTTCGGGTCTCACACTGTTCTTTCCTGTGGGCAGGTCATCCTGGGGTCAGGGGTCAGGCGTTGGGGGTGTCCCCAGACTGCGACCCTGCGCCGGGAGCTCTGGGCCCCAGATGCCCGCCCCGCCGCCCACCTGAGGAAGGTAGAGGTGAGGTTGAGGCCACCGTCCGCCGCGGGGCCCACCACGGACTTGCACATGGACAGCACCTTCTTCTTCTCCAGGAACCAGCTCGAGTTGGAGGCGAGGCCCGAGGTGAACCAGAGCCCCAGGAACTGCGGCGAGAAGACCCCATCCCGGTCGGCCGGAACCCTCCAGGACCCGCCGGGGGTGGGCGGCCCGCGCGGCTGCGTCCCACCCCGGCCCCCCTGTCCCTAGCGGGGGTCGGATGCGGGGCGCGTGCGCGGGGCGCGGGGCTGGAAGACCCGCTCCGACGTGCCCCCGCAGAACCCCCGCAGGCCTCTGCGCGCGTGTTCACGGGGGGGAGGGGGCGCGCACCGTGGGGCACTCGGTTCCGACGCCATTCCTGGCGCCACCCTGAGCTCCTCCGTCATCTGCGCCCTCGCGCACGGAGGTGTGTCCCCAGCCCAGGTGTGGAAGGTGTGCCTATTTTCCCTGGGCGTCGTGAGCTCGTTGGGCTCACCGTGTTGGGTTAGGGGTGGCGGGCGCGCAGGTGGCCCGCGGGTCTGACGAGCGCGCGCTCCCGCTCACAGGCGCGTCCCTGCCCGTCGGTGAATCTCCTGGGGAGGCCTCTCCCGGTCAGCCTTCTCCCGCCAGGCGAGCCCTCCTTCTCTTCTGCTCCCCCTTCCCAGGGAGAGCACCCCACTCCCCATGGGCACCGTCCTGTCTCTGCGCCAGGCAGGGAGCCCTCACCTTGTCCTCTTGGAAGTTGGGCTGCAGGGTGGCCTGGGCGGGGGCTGGGGTCTGCAGGACCCCCAGGACCCCCAGCAGGAGCAGCCCCATCCACAGCCTGTTCAGAGTGGCCATTCTCCCAGGACTGGGCTGGCGGCACAGGCAGAGAGGCAGGCAGGAGGCAGGGAGGCCACCCGGAGACCCCTATTTATGGGCCTGGCTTGGCCTCCACCCAGGCCCAAGGACAGCCCACAGCAGGCTCGTGACGCGGGGGGAGGACAGGGCAGCAGCGGCCTCGCCCCCCACGGGGCTGCTTATGTAAGAGGCACCGACTGGGACAGCCTGCGCCTGCCCCCCAGGCCCAGCTGGGGGGGGCAGAGGCCCCCGCATGGCGGGCCCCTTCTCCAGCCTTGGAAGCAGCCTGGTTGGGGGCAGGGGGCAAGTGCCTTGGTGCTGCCCTGCCTCTGGGGTCTCTGGTCACTTGACTCCCCTCACAAGCCCCACCATTGTTCTGTGTCCGAGCCTGGTAACCCTGGGAGGCGACACAAGGCCCTGTTTGCACCGCCTGAGTTTCGTTCCGGAAGGCCCAGCAGGCCAGGGGGTGATGGGAAACTTGGGCCAAAGGAAGGAAGCCAAAGCTCCCCTGAGTGGAGCCCGAGGGCCTGGTGTGCGACACAGTGTCCCCGGAGCCAGATGGCGGGGTCTGGCTGGGAGCCCCCGGGGCGTCCTTCCTAGCCTGGGACCCTCTGGCCTTGGGCAGAGGCCCATTCCTTGTACCTGCACACCTCCACACCTGCACATCTGCAGTGGCCCCACCCAGCCTGTCCTATCACCTGGGGTGCCAAGCTGGTGCCTCCCCAGGGGCCAGAGGACGTGAGGTTCCCCCGCCCTGCACAGAGGGCCGCCTCCTTGTGTTGACGGGCTGTCTCTGAGGTCCTGGGCCCTGTTCAAATCTGGCAAGTGTCCCCTGTCCCTCTGGTCCTGACCAAGGCCACCCCAGACTAGCCGGGGCCTCAGCACAGGACCGAGTGGGGTCAGCAGCTCTGAGCAGCAGTGAGCAGGTGGGTGCGCGTACCTGGGGTGGGGGCTGGGGAGGTGAGGCTGGGGAAGGAGGTCCCGAGCGTGGAGTGTGGTGCAGAAACAGTGGGGACACGGCTGTGGCTGGGGGCACAGACCTGGCCCTCCCCCGGGGCCCAGCCCACCGCGGGGTGCAGCCCCTTCCCGGTGCTTGGCACCGTCCGCCCGGAAGCTGGCTACTTGGCAGCCCGGCCTCTGGCTTTGGACCGGACCCAGGGCTGTCCGGAAACTGCGCGGAAGGGGAGGCGTGGACTGGGCCAGCTCCCTGAATGGAGCTGGCGTGGGCCCTGCCACCCACCTCGCAGGGGCAGGATGGCGGGCCCCGGGCCCACAGGGTTCCTAATGAGGGCAGGGTGCCTGCACCTCGTTCCCCCGGCTTCCTGGGCCCGGCCAGACCCTGCTGTGGGGGGGCCCCGCCCAGGGTCCCAGAGCGCAGAGTCGGGTTTTTTGAGTGGCACCATGAAGGTCTCCTGCCTTCTCACTGGTGCCAGGGCTGGCGGGGCCGTCCCCGGAAGAGGCCAATGTGTGGGGCCGGCAGAGGAGGCTGGGGGCGCAGGGCAGGGGCAAAGGGAGGTGGGGTGAGGTGGGGAGGGCTGCGGTGTCGGGGCGGGCCCAAGCAGGCCTAAGATCCCCACCGCTCTGCCCTGGCCTCCCATGCACCCTGCCCCTCCGCAGGCTCACGGCCGTGGGGGGACAGTCTGTCAGGAGCAGACAGGAGTTGGAGGGATGGTCCTGGGCCCTGCACCGCCCTGGGGCTGCCCCAGGCCGTAGCTTGGCCCAGGGGCAGAGCAGGGGGCCCCTTTCAGGATGGCAGAGGGGCAGGAAGAGGAGCGTGGGTGGAAGGCCTGGGACATCTGTGTGGCCCCAGGCCTCCTGCCATTCGATGCCGAGCCGGGCGGCTCTTTGGCCGTGGAGAGGCTCCGGGCTCCGCGGGGCCGAGCTGCGTGCCTGCCCAGCCCCTGTC